GTCACGAATGAGCTAGACCGAGAGTTAGACACGAATAAGCTAGACCAAATGGAGATAAGATCAGGGTTAGACACGAAATCAATATTTTTTGTCACAGTATCCAAAATTAGACTGAATAGAGATGAGAACAGGGTTAGACATAGATAAGCTAGACTAAATGGAGATAAGATCAGGGTTAGACACGAAATCAATTTTTTTTGTCACGGTATCCAAAATTAGACTGAATAGAGATGAAATCAGGGTTAGACACAGATGAGCTAGATTGGATGGAGATAAGATCAGGGTTAGACACGAAATCAATATTTTTTATCACAATATCCAAAATTAGACTGAATAGAGATGAGAACAGGGTTAGACACGAATAAGCTAGACCAAATGGAGATAAGATCAAGGTTAGACACGAAATCAATATTTTTTGTCACAGTATCCAAAATTAGACTGAATAGAGATGAGAACAGGGTTAGACATGGATAAGCAAGACAAAATGGAGATAAGATCAGGGTTAAGACATGAAATCAATATTTTTTGTCACAATGTCCAAAATTAGACTAAATAGAGATGAGATCACGGTTAGACACAGATGAGCTAGATCGAATGGAAATAAGGCCAGGGTTAGACACGAAATCAATATTTTTTGTCTCGTGTCCAAAATTAGGCTGAAAAGAGATGAGAATAGGGTTAGACACAAAATCAATATTTTTCGTCCCGTGTCCAAAATTAGACTAAACAGAGATGAGATCAACGTTGACACAAATGAGCTAGACCAAATAGAGATGAGATCAAGGTTAAACACGAAATCAATATTTTCTATCCCAGTGTCCAAAATTAAACTAAATGGAGATAAGATCAGAGTTAGACACGAATGAGCTAAATTGAATAGAGATAAGATCATGATTAGACACGAATGAGCTAAACCAAATAGAGATGGGATTAGGGTTAGACACGAAATTAACATTTTGCATCCCCGTGTTCAAAATTAGATCGAACCGGTACAAGCCAGCAAGAACTTGGTTATTGAGTCATTGGCAAGATGTAAAGAAAAGAAATCTGAAAAGGGGTAGTAATGATTAAGTTAGCGAAGTCTCTGAGAGAAAGTGTAAGAAAAGAGAGCAGGTTGGGTATTAGATTCTGGGCAATGAACTTTTCCAAGAAACAAAGTGATATCATTAACTCAAAACCACCTCCAAAACAAAAGGCCCCCCACCACTCTTCTTCTCAGCAATCCAAAGAATCTCTTACAAAAAAAAACTATGTCAAAAGAACAAAGAAAGAATTCAAGACAGGACACTTGCAACAGCAGTACAACTCGGCTCCACCGTTTTAATTTATGTGAGAACTCACAATCCATCCTTTTGTAAAGCCGTTTGGTATCTAATTTTGATACCATTTGTAACAATCCAAGCTCGCTCCACGATTTTAAAATATTCTGTTCGGAAGAGGTTTCCACGCATTTATAAAGAATGTTTCATTCCTCTCTCCAACTGATATAAGACTCCACAATCCACTCCCTTGGAATCCAGCATCCAGTGTCTGCGTATCTGTTAGGAAGATGTTTCCACACTTTTATAAAAAATGTTTTGTTCTTCTATTCAATCGACGTAGAACCTTACAATTCACCCCTTTAGAGGTTCAGTGTCTTCACTAGCACACCGCCCGGTGTCTAGCTCTAATACCATTTGTAACAGCTCAAGCCCACCGTTAATAGATATTGTCCGTTTTAACCCGTTACGTATCATCGCGTGTATGTTAGGGAGATGTTTACACACCCTTATAATGGATGCTACATTAACGATATCTTTTGAGTTGAAATAAAACGTCTCAACCCGACTCAATACAAGACACGGACACTTCTAATGGTATTAATTAGTATTAATTTGGTTGTGGTTAGTTTAGTGTCCAATGGCGGCAAAGCCATGTGGGATTGTCTTGTTCCATGGCAGACTGAAACGGGTAGGGAGGCTGTACAGTTCTTCTTCCACACCCTAAGCCACAACATTGAATCAATCAAATCAGCCTTTTTTAAAAACAATTTTATCATTTTTAATATTTCAATTGGATATATATAAATAATATATTGTTTTCTATATTATTTGACGACATTATTGTCGGATTTATGGTTGTGCTTTTTTTGTGGTCCAGTCTATGAAACCAGCTGAAAGCATAATATTTTTCTTTCTATTTTTTATTTTCTAATTCATAATTTTGCAACAAAAAAACAAAATAATAATAATAAAAAGTTGAGGGTTATTTAGTAATGGTGCTGAATTAGACCATAATCATGATTATAATACGAATGAGTGGAAACCTCTCCTTACTAGAAGTACTTTAAAATCTTTGAGGGAAAATTTGAAAGGAAAAGACCAAACAAGACAATATGTGCTAGCGGTAGGCTTGACTTGGCTTGTTACAATGGTATTAGACCCGGACATCGAGCAGTGTGTCAACGAGGACGTTGGGCTCTAAAGGGAGATGGTTTGTGAGATCCCACATCGATTGAAGAGGGGAACGAATGCCAGCGAGGATGTTGGACTCGAAAGGGGTGAGTTGTGAAATCCCACATCAGTTGGAGAGGGGAACGAAACATTCTTTATAAAGGTGTGAAAATCTCTCCCTAATAGACGTGTTTTAAAAACTTTGAAGGAAAATTCGAAAAGGAAAGACCAAACAAGACAATATGTGTTAGCGGTGGGCTTGACTTGTTACAATAGTATTAGAGTCGGACATCGAGCAATGTGCCAACGAGGACGTTGGGCTCTAAAGGGCGGTGGTTTTTGAGATCCCACATCAATTTGAGAGATGAACGAGTGCCAGCGAGGACGCCGACCCCAAACGAGGGTGGATTGTCTGGTGTTAAATCATAAGCACGTTACGAACGTAGATAATTATAACAATATATATATATATATACACAAATTTCGGACGAAACTAGATATAATCCATTGATACGGGAGTTTTTAAGATGAATAAAAATAAATAAAAAAAATAGACAAAAGTAATTTGGTAGTAATATGAGGGGGAGACGACAGGTGGTGAACCACCGGACAAGCGTATGTTGTTGGGTGTTACTGTCGTCGTCTGTTTTTGCAGTCTCGTACGACATGTAGTCTCCAGTGGCAACCAGTGGCAACGCCCACTCCCAAATACTAAACGACGCCGTTCTCTCTCTTCCTTTTGTTTCTCTCACGTGGCTGCTCCACCTTGTCCACGTGTTGCAATTACAGCCACGGAATTTGTCCGCTCATTTTGGAATCCGTCTTTTTTGAGCTTTCAAAGAAAAAATGTCTTTTTATCCAAATATATATATATTTATATATTTCATTTTCCCTTTCCCATATTTGGTCCAAAATCACTTCTAATTAATTAAATTCTTTCCTTTTGGTCTAATAAAATAATTATAATTTTTAATTTTTTAATTTTAGATATCTATTAAACATTTTTAAAATTTCGACATATATCCAAAATTTCAACTTTGTCGTTTATTTTCAATATTGTTTCCGTTTATTCTCACGTGGAAAGGTATACTAATTAGTGAAGTCATGAAAGTCGAGTGGAAAGAAGAAGATCAAAATTTGAAATTTCAGCTAAATTCTTACTTTTATCCCTAAAACTTCTTCGTTTATAAAGAAAGTTTGTGTGTACTGTGTCACAATCACACTTTTTTTTGCAGCGGGCTTTGTACTTGTGCAGCACTTACTCCAAATACCAAGTGAGTCTAGCCAATTTGTATTCACGTCGCCTATGACCGGGCAATGTATGCTCAAATCTCTGACCCTGTTTGAGAAGAGGGTCTTAGAAAACGGAAGGAGAGAGACTTTTGAAAGCGAGTTTGAAAGTAAGAATGAGAGAAGATTTAGAAGCAACGTTATATGACTATAAGGAAAAGTCAACACAATGGCTTAATATAGCATATAACTTCCTCGGTAGGGAGAATTCGACAACTAGTCGCACTCCCTTATAGTACATTTTGTGGTGATTCAGGTTTAGTAGGTCTAGATGTGATTTCGCCAAATGGTCATACAAAATCAGGGGGAGAAATTAAAAACTAGTCACACCCCCTATAGTACATTTTGAGGCGATTTAGGATTGGCATGCCTAGACATGATTTCACCAAATCATACAAATAGAAAATGAAATAGTAAGATAATACAACATTAAATTAAATAAAAGGTTCGACATGACATGGGCATGCCGTAACAGACAACACGCCCTAGACAAGCATGACCGTGACACACGACTCAACAATCTTACCTTCAAACAAAATAGTCATTCATTCATCCATGTTGATCAGGGTTTTTGTCCTTGTGTTTAGTTCAGCAATTGGAATGGATATATTCAAATATCTAACCATTGTATCTTAATCAGTTGAACTATGTTAAAATTGGTTATCAAACCTTGCGAGTTTCTATGGTACTCCAACCCAGTTCTTTTAAATTTAGGGTTCTAGTTCCTGAGTTGAGCGATGTTGAAATTGGTTGTCGAAACTTGCGAGTTTTCCCAGTACTGCAACCTAGTTCCTTTAAACTTAGGTTCTTTAGTTGAGCTATGCTGAAATTGGTCGTCGAACTTTGCAAGTTTTCACTGCACTCCAACCGAGTTCCTTTAAACTAGGGTTCTGGTTCACAAATTGACCTATGTTGAAATTGGTCGTCAAACCTTACAATTTCCACCGTACTCCAAACCTTACAATTTCCATCGTACTCCAACCTAGTTCCATTAAAACATAAGTTCCTTTAAAACATAAGGTTCTGGTTCTTAGGTTGAGCTATGTTGAAATTGGTTGTCGAATTTTCACAATACTCCAACTTAGTTCCTTTAAACTTAGGGTTCGGGTCGTAAACCGACACCGGAAACATAATAACCCTTCCTCTTAACCCTAGTTGGAAGAAGTAGAACCCTAGATAAGATGGAAGGGAGGGGGGGAAAGAAGGAGAAAGAGTTGAAAGAATGAAATAATGTCTTTCCAAAACATATCGTACTCTGTTCCAAACAAACTTACTTGTCTTACTTATCTAAGTACTTTGCCTTCTTTCTCTCTCCTTATGCAATTTTGAGAGCCACCATTAAAAACCCACCATTTCTTTCCTCCATTAACTTCAAAGCTCTCAACTTTTTGTTCTCCCATGGAAGAAGTTTGGAAAGACATTAATCTCTCCTCTCTCCACTCCCGTTCCGACCATGATTTCCCCTCCGCCGCCGCTACTCCCATCAGCCTCCACCTCCACCACCAACACTCCGCCGCCAACTTCCGCCACATCATCCTCCAAGACTTCCTCTCTTCTTCCACTTCAAAACTTGACTCCTCCTCCGCCGCCGCCGCTGCTGCCGTCGCTGCCGTTGCTCCTCCACCCACTGTCTTATCCTTGAATTCCACCCGCGAATTGCATTTCCCAGATAACGCCGCCGTCGCCGCCGCCGCCGCCGCCCACTTCTGCCACCCGAACCCTTCCTCCGCCACCGCCGCCTTCCACAGCCCCTTTGACCAAGTCCTCGGCCCACCGCCTTTCGCTAAGAAAAGGGTCCCTGATTCTGACTCGAATAACTCCGGCGACCGGCGGCAGAAACGCATGATAAAAAATCGGGAATCCGCCGCCCGATCTCGTGCTCGAAAACAGGTTAAACAAATACACAATTTAAAAAAAAAAAAAAAAAAATTCTAAAATAACTTAATTTTAATAAATTTTTATTGGGTTTAATCCACAGGCTTACACAAACGAGCTGGAGCTTGAAGTGGCACATTTAATGGAGGAAAATGCAAGATTAAGGAGACAGCACGAAGAGGTAAATTAAATTAAATTAAATTTTTGTTTAATATTTATTTTTATTACAAAAAGACAATAAACCTTAAAACGACGGTTGTGTCTGGCAGCTCCGAGCAGCTGCGACGGCGCAAACGTCAAGGAAGCACAGGCTGCAGAGGACCTCAACGGCGCCGTTTTAGGAACAGAGGGTTTTTTTTGGGAATTATTAATATGTGAAGTTAATTTTGTGGGGATGAAAAGGAAGGAATTTGTGATGTTTGCAGAAAAACCCTTTTGTTATTTAGGAACAAAAATTTAACAAAGACACTAATTTTCAACCCTCTTCAAGCTCATAGCTACATAAAAGTCAATTGTCTTTTGACTTTAATTTTTTTTTTTTAATTTTGTTGGACATGAATACGGTTGCGAGGGTTATCAATGCATTAGCTAGTTTGATTCGTCGACTAAGTTGGTAAGTGATGTTTTAAACAGAAAATCGACGGGGTGATCCAATTTTTCAAAAGTTTAGAGACTAAATTTATAATTCGAAAGTTTTAGGGACGGACTAAATTTTAAAAAAAAAATATGAATGTTGGGGAGTGATGTTGATTTAGAGGATTTAAAAGGGGAAAAAAGCAAAAAGGGCAATAATATTCAAAACCATGAAAAACCCACATGAAGAAAGAACAAAGATTCATATATTTATAATCTAAATTAATTTGTGAAAGCCAATCATACTTAAGGCATCAACATATAATACCCTCAATGGCTAACCTTAAAAGTTAGCCAAAATAGTAGAAAACCCTAATATCGAGAAGCATACGAAACCCATCGAGGGCTCGGGTTGGTTGTTTGTACAGGTTTTGAAGGACCCAGAACGTAAATAACATAGGTTGTCTTGTGGAGATGGAGAGTAGAGGAAGGTAGGTTTTATGAGAATCGTGAAGTGGACGATTGTGTAGTGAGGAAGGACGAATAATGGAGGGAGGAAATATCTCGGGGATCAAAATGCACAAATGGGTGGACCAGGGAAAATGGAAGAGATAGAAAATATGGAAGGGAATCTAGTGGGTAGAAAAGGAAAAGTGCATAACTTTCTACTTGTTTTGAAGAGTTATTGAGTTATGTTGTCCTTTTATCTTATCCACCACTATCACATTTCTTTGCAAACTAAGCTAAACCTTTCTTTCACTTCATTATTTCATTTTACACATCATATTCTTCTATGCTCTTTCTTTTTCTTCCATAAAGCAAAAGGACTTACCTCACTCCTCACCTTATACTCTAAAAAGGATTCAAAAGAAGAAAAGAAAAAAGATCGACTCTATCCTATCTTCTCGCTAAAACTCTTGTTCTTCAAAAGTAAGCACACTTCATGTAGGTCTTTTGAAACGTGTCGGCTACTGAGAGGTTTCCACACCCTTATGATGTGGGATCTCGCAATCACACTCTTTTAAGGAATGTTTTGTTCCCCTCTCCAACTGATGAGGGTGGGATCTCGCAATCACACTCTTTTAAGGAATGTTTCGATCCCCTCTCCAACTGATGAGGGTGGGATCTCGCAATCACACTCTTTTAAGGAATGTTTCGTTCCCCTCTCCAACTGATGAGGGTGGGATCTCACAATCACACTCTTATAAGGAAGTTCTCATCTTCAACCGATGTGAGATCTCACAATCTACCTGCTTGAGAGCCCAGTGTCCGTGCTGGCACACCACCTAGTCACTGGCTCTGATATCATTTGTAACAGCTCAAACCCATTTCTACTACATATTTTTTTCTTTGGGCTTTCCCTTCTAGGCTTCCCGTTTTAAAATGCGTCTGTTAGGGAGAGGTTTCCACACTTCTTTCCCCTCTCCAACTAATGTGATATCTCACAATTCAACACATGGGTTTTGTTCTAGATATTGTTCGTGTTTCTTGTAACTCATTTAGGGTTACTCATATAAATGTGGGAGGATGACGATAAACTACCCTAGTTAGGTCGTATTAGATTGATAATTTGGTCATTGTTTGCATATAGAGTTATAATAGACTTCAATATCATATTTACCTCTCACACTTATTTCATTGTTTATGTGATTCATGGGGAAATGAAGGGAATACATTTGAGGATACAACCAAATTGGGGTCAACATGAACAAATACACAAGAACTTGGAGCATAAGAAATGACAAGATGTGCAGAGAGGGTTTTAGGAAATCACTTGGTGGAGATAAGGTGAGGCTAATTAGTAGTTGAAATGAATTGGATTGAGCACTTTACATGGTGGGAAAAGGAGTGAGACACATGTCTGCAGGGCATCAAATGGTGTGCTTTCCCTCTTTGATTTGACTCAATTCAATTTGGATCTTTGTGGGTTAAAGATTTTGAGCCTTCTTTTTTACCCCTAGTGGGTGTTTTATGACCCACCACTTTATTTCTTACTCGGATTCGATTTTAGATCAAACGTTTCTAAGTTCAAGATTTGGATAACAAGTTATAATCCAAAATCGACCCTTGATAGCTCGGAAATTCTCTTACATCCTCACAACCTGGTCACGTGGTCTTATTTTTAGGTTTCGGGTTCATTGCAATCAACTTCTAGTTCAACGTCTCAAGTTCAAGATTTGGATCAGAAGTTATAACCTAAAATCGACCTTTGATAGCTCAAGCGTTCCCTTACATCCCTACAACCTAGTCACGTGGTAATTTTCAGGTTTTGGGTTTATTGGAATCAATCTCTAGTTCAACGTCTCAAGTTCAAGATTTGGATCATACTTTATAACCTAACATTGACCCTTGATAGCTCAAGCGTTCCCTTACATCCCCACGACCTGGCTACGTGGTCTTATTTGTCTCGAACAGCTTGCAAGAGAGAAGCTTGTTACCATCAACCAGCACAGTTCATCTCAACATGTTTTGTCTTCATTCACATGCTTCTAAGAAAAAAAATTTAGGTGGCCATCCAAAAAAAAATGTACCTTGTTGGTATAATCATATAAGTAATAACTTTCGATTTTTTAAGTCGTTCTTAACGTTCATACTTACGTATCTTCGATCTCGAATATCACATTAAATTGTTATAACTTTGTTCGTGAAGAAACTTTGTATCACGTCACCAAAAGGGAACAAAAGAATAAATTTAATGTCGAAAAATAATTCAATCGAGATAAAATATAAATTTTTTATCGTACCTTTGTCGAAAAAAAAAGAGGATAGAGATAGAGAAATGTAAGAAAATAATTTAGTATGTCATCCCTACTTTATTAACTTTTGTTATGTCACTATTAGGTTAGGTGGTTCTATTATTGTCCTTCTCTTTATTCTAATTTCTTTTTGTTTTCCTCTCATGTCTAAGCTGAAAAGCCTTGTCCCCCTCCTCTACAAACCTAAAAAAACAACCTTTTTACTTTGTTTTCTCAACGATTTATTCGAGAGATAGACATGATCGTACCTTGTTCGTGATACTAATCATGTTGAAGCAAACCCTTGCACGTGAAAACGAATTCTAAATTTCGAACTTTCGTATCCTAAACATGGTTTTCAAAATTCTTTCTTTCGAAACCCCTTTTTGCACGTTCTCGAGTCCTCTCGACCCGTTAAAGATGCTGAAAAGGTTGTCTAATTGTTGATTTACTTTTCTTAAATACATATTACGAAGTGAGGAAAACACTCAATAAAAATGGAGAGAGAGAGAGAGAATAGGCAGTTTGATGTGAATCATAGGCTGAAATGCTCAGCCACAGGCGTAGGTAAAGCCATGCTGCAGAGAAAGCAATTCCTATGCTATTCCCTTTGTTTCCACAATAAGTGCGATAAATAATAACAATGACAAACCACCAACCAAGTTGGTTCGGTTCGGTTCAGTGAGAATCGAACCGCTAAACTTAGTCGAACCAAATCTCATCGGTCACCGTTCTAATTTCATGTGTAAATAATGCAAGTACCTCAAAAAATATGAAATTGTTTTAAAAAATATCTTTGTAGAGGTTTTTTCATTAAAATAAGATGGAATTTGACGGAATAAAGATGTAGGAACCTATCTGTAACATATGAGCTTTAAAAAGCTCGAAGGAAAGCACGAAAGAGAAAGTGCAAAGAAGACAATATCGGCTAACAGTAAGCTTGAACTGTTACGAAATGAAAGACATACATGACATCATTTACAACGTCATTCAAATGAAATAAATTGTAGTAGTGATCTTAATCTTCCATACTTTTAGATCAATTTCAAAGTAAAAAGGGTAATTTTTAAAGCAAATTTCAAAGTTTAAGCCTATCCACCTAATGTAACCTAATTTATTTTATAACACGAAAGAAACTAACAAAAATGGTCGCATGTCGCAATCACACTAAAAGTCGGCTAGTAACATTTCATAATATATTTGAAAAAAACAATACATGGGATATAATTCTACGACTTTCTTAATAACGAAATGTTATAGGGTCAAATAATTGTATTTCTTTGAGATCGATCGAGGTGTGCACATTAACTAGTCCACATACTCAAATAGTGTTAGTTAGACAAACCAACGTCATTCGAGTCATAGTTAAGTACTATTTTAAAAGCCAATCGTTCAATCTTCTACCCGTTGAGCCGAAAATAACGATTGTTGATAATAGCCACCAAAAGTTAGGCATAATTGCTTTAAAAAGTTGGGAATTTGAGCTAAATTATGATTCTCCCATCACCCATAACACCAACAGATTTGACATGTATTTGAATGGCTCCACTTGTTTTAAGTTATGTACAAATTACAAACTTTAAGTGATATATTGTGAAGTTAGAGCCATCCAACTCACATTGGTCAAATCATATTGATTTAAACCTTGTTGGGATCTCAAAAGGGAAGCTCAAAAACCAGAGGTGTGGAAAGAAGAAAACCATATCACCATCTCATCCGTTAGCATTTCATTACTCCCATCTTCATGATTATTCCCTCCTTCCATTGAATATCGGCATATCGGACAAGTTCTCCGACACTCTTCGAACCATCGATCGAGACATATCTTATGAAACTCGTGCGAGCAAGGAAGAACACTCGTGCCAATTCCCTCGTCTTTGTCCTTGTTCCCCATACACGACAAGCATACGCAACATGTCTCGCCTTCCAACGCCTTCTCAGGACTCGAAAGAGCTGCGACACAATCATCAGGTGTCGTAGGTCGAAGGCTCGAATCGGCACTACAAGGAAGCGGGGTTTCTTGCTTGAGTGTCGGGCTGGTTCGGAAGCCGATGAGGTTGTTGTAGAAGAAGAAGAAGAGCTTGTTGAAAACCATGTGTCATCAATGAAGAGAATTGGAATGCATCAGCTGGGTGTTTTTAAGTGTGTTTCATACATGTTGCGTGGGTTAGGAGTGGTTGGATCGGTGAAGAAGGAGGAGGAGGAG